GGTCATTCTTTCAGAGGGTTAACAACACAGACCCTGGAGCCACATGGAGCTGGGTTCCAAACTTAGCTCTGCCTTAGAGACAGCACTCAACCTTTCTGAGCCTTATCTTTAAAATGGGGGTAACAATGTCTGTATCTCCTGGAAGGATGCAGTGAAACAACAGTGCACAGTGCTTGGCACACAGGAAGCACCGTTCCTTCCTCTTTGCCTTCTCAGTTGTTCTCATTATTGGAATTGTCCCATAAAAGCCTTAGACCTCCACACAAAAGCTCCTCCTTCCCACCCTGCCCACCCCCACCCACTAGGCAATTCTAAAGCAGTGAGAGAGGCCTAGCAGTTAAATTTCTTCTCTTATTTTTCTTTTTCACAATGCTGAACATTCACACACCCTAATATTCACATCTGTGTATTTACTCCTAGGATTTACTTTAAAAATAATAGGATGAGGATGTGGGGAAATGGAGAAGATAGAGGAGAGATGCTGGCTCTGAGTTGAGAGTGGTTGAAGCTGTATAATGGGTACCCCGGAGCTCATACACTGTTCTCTATACTTTGTAAATATTTGGCAATTTCCGTATTAAAAAATATTTTTAAAGGGAAAAAAAATCATGTTAATCAGTTTCTACTTGCCAGACACTGGTAGAGGAGAGAATATTGAAAAGAAGAAGTTCAGGCGCTAGCCCTGAGGAATTCATAGGTTGGTGGAAGAGACAGGTGTGTTAGTGGTCATTGCAACAGAGCAACAGGGAGAAGCAGTGCAAGTGGGGGCTCCAGGGGGCACCCGGGGGAGGGGGCGGGGCACCCCCGCTTCTGCTCTCCCCCTAGACCACCTCGCTGGCTTGCACAAGTGCATGTGAGAGACAGTGGGTGTGGAGAGAAGGACGTACGTGAATGGACATCATTCCCATCACTGTAGGATCCATGACCACATTTAAGCATCACCTTCCCCTACAGCCACTTCATCCTTCTTCTTTCCAAGCTGTGTTAGGTGCTTTTCTCTGAGCTCTGTCTACATTGGCCTTTATCACACTGAATAGAGTGGATGTATTTGAGCAGGGGGCCAGAGAGACGGGAGGAGTCATCCCTGAAAACCTTGTATCATGCAAAGCTGCCATAACTCAGGAGCAAGCCTGACCTAATGGCATTTATTTCCATCTACCAGCCATGGGGGCGCCCCCGTGTGGCAAAAGTGTGAACATTATCTGCAAATGACCAAGTTCACCTGCATTAGACTTACGCAACTCAACCGATTTGTAGGTTCAAAAGCATCTCAGTTTTTCAATATTTTGCACATAAATGGGCTTAATTAATACATTTATACCACATTCCTTCAAATCGGCGGCATAATTTTAAAAAATTGCACACAGAACTTGATTCCTGAATCGTAATTATCTATTTCTTCTCTGATAAGGTCCTCTTCCTCACCTCTTTTTTCCCAGTTGAGTAGAAGGAAGGAAAGAGGAAGGAAGAAAGGAAGGAAGGAAGGAAGGAAGGAAGGAAGGAAGGAAGGAAGGAAGGAAGGGAGGAAGGAAGAGAAAGAAGGAAGGGAGGATAGGATTAGACAGAAAGACCATCTTCTCTTCCTCTTCTCCCTCCCTCACCCCCCAACACAAAGGCATGTCATATGAGAATCTGACATGAGCAGTCACCGTTCCTGTGCGGAGCAGTAACTGGCATGTAAGTGATGTTAAACCCTGCTGCTGTCTAGCTTTCCCACCTTGGGCTTGTCACTTCTCCTTCCAAAACCATTTTTCCATCTATCATGTAGGAAGAGCAGTACCAACCGGACCTCCCACGGGTCACAGAAGGGCCATGTGAGACAATGCAGGGGAGAGCCCTTTGAATGCTGTAAACCTGTGGCCTCATGTTAGGGGTGTTGTGTCTTGCTGACACAGGGCACCCACAGCCTGGCACTTCCGAGTGACTCACCGGCCTCTTATATGAGCCCATCTCACTAGGAGGCCCTGAGGGTGGCTGAGCTAATGTTTGCAAACCACTTTAAAAGAGGACAAGGGCTTTAAAACTGCTTGGATCACTTCCGGTTAGATGACTTCTTCACAAGAGTACAAAGAAGACCAAATATGGACCCTTCTTTTTCATTTTCTTTCAAAAAGGGAGACAATTCACTCCATCATTAGTGTACAACACAGTGTTTGAATTAGCCAAGCAAAGGCAGAAGAGTTTTGGGGGGGACAGGGTTATTAAAAATATTATTGTTTTGTAATGGGAAAAGCGATATGTGCTTATTTTTTAAGTGTAAATGCTACAGAAGTGTAGAAAACAAAAGAGAAAAGCCCGGTTTTTCTAAATACCACCTCTACCCCTTCCCAGAGGTGGCCACTGTTCAGACAAACTTTAAGAGCTTTCTGTGCATATGGGCCTGCAATTTTTTTTCAGTTAACCATTAACAGCAGATTTTTTTAAAAGGATGAAAATCTTTAAAGAAATTTAGAAGGCAATATAAATGTTTTACCAAGGGGACTGTTCATTCAAATGTGCTTCTTAAGCCAAAATCCAGAGTTGGAATGTTCTCCCAGCATCTGAGGAAAAGGGTACACTGTGCACACATTTGTCATGTGTTTGTCCTCCCAAACTAGAATGGGAGCTTCTCCAGACGGTGCTCCCAGGACCTAGCCCAATGCCCGGCACAAATCAGTGTTTGCAAAGTGAATAAACGAACGACCCTGTGATTCTGCAAAATTAATTCCCACTGGGCTGGCCCCTCTGCTCTTTACAGCATCTTGCTTTCCCAGCTCCTTCACACACTGGGTCATTTTGGCCTCACAACAGCCCTCTAATTTATGTTGCATTTCGTATTTCACTTTATGGTTATTTTACAGATGGGAAAACTGAGTTCTAGTGAAGTCACAGAGTGGGGTCTAAGACCCAGGTGGGTTTTGTTGCATCCACTCTCCGTAGTCACTGACGCCTGCCTCTACAGTGTACAATGGTCAGAGGATAAGTCAGTTTAAAGTCTACACAGCTGAAAGCTCACTTTGAGATGGTGAGGGTTAATTCTCTTCAGTTTGTGAGCCAGGAAGGCTACTTTAGGTCGCGTGCAGTACGCTTTGGGAAGGCCTCTGGTTTGCAAATCCGCCTCTGCCATCTGCTGGACGAAGGAGGCATTTCAGTCCTGTGGCTCATGAGCTGCTTCCATCTGCTTAGAACCTACATAGTACCATGCGATTTACACATATAATTTTTCACTCCTCCAAGCAACTCTATAAGGTAGGTCTGTTGCCGAGTCCAAACTTGTTCTGCTCGCCGCACGACAGGCCAATAAATCGGGAGACGAAGTGTTGGGGCAAGGAATAGTGACTTTATTCAGAAAGCTGGTTGACCAAGAGGATGGCAGACCAATGTCTAGAAGAACCATCCTGCTCTAGTCAGAACGCAGGCTCCATTTATACAAAAAATAAGGGAGGGGGAGGAAAAATAAGGGAGGGGGTGTGGTTGGTTGTTGTAATCTTGCTGCAGGCATTCTTTGTTCTTGCAGCCATCCCCGTGGGCCAGGTCATGGTATCTCTGTAAACCTCCAACAAAACAAAGGTTATTCTCTGCTACAGGTCCAGTCTTGTCCCCATTTTCAGATGAGGCAACTGAGGTTCACAGTGGTTAGGTGTCCTAGTCTCCTAGGGCCTCTGTGACAAATTCTCTCAAACCTGGTGGCTTAAAACCTTAAGAATCTATTCTCTCACAGTTATGGAGGCCAGAAGCCCGAAATTGAGGTGGCTCCTTCCAAACTCCAGGGAAGATTCCTTCCTTGTTCTTCCAGTTTCTGGGGGCTCCAGTCTGTCCTTGGCCTGTGGCTGCATCACCCCAGTCTCTGCCTCCATCTCCACATGGCTTCTCCCTGTGTGTCTCTCCCCATGTTTCTCTTATAAGGACATTTGTCATCTAATGTAGAGCCACCTAGATAATCCAGGGTGGTCTCACATCAAGATGTGAACTTAATTACATCTACAAAAACATTTTTTCCAAATAAGGTCACATTCACAGGTTTCTAGGGTACGAAGGTGAACATATGTTTTGGAGGGGGAAGTTGGTGGAGCACCCAGCCAGCCCACTCCCCCGTGTCCTTTAGTTGATATGTTATGGAGGCAGTGCTCTTAATCATTGTTAGGGGCCAAGACTATTGCTAGCAACCCTCTCCTCTGAGTCTCCTCTACCCCTGAGTCCTTCCCATTTTCGGCACCCCCTCTTTTCAGTGAAAAGAAAGGCAAAAAAAAAAAAGCCTTGCACCCTGAGACTTCCTGCTCTTGCTCATTGCATGGAGGGACCACGTGATATACTACCCAAAAGAGGACACATCTGAGGATAAAAGAGTAAAAGTGAGAGTTAACAATTATCCTCTGGTAACAGCCACACCAGGGCTGGGTGGGAAAAGCTAGATGTAGGGGGTCCCTCCCAGGGCCTCCCCAGGCCGGGCCTCCCCCACTGGCCTTCCCAAGACCCCATGCCTCTCTTCTCTTTCGCCCCTGAAGTCAACTCCCTCTACCTGGCAGGTGATCAGGAGACCCTGAGGCCCAGGAGACGCCTACTAAATGAGCTCTGAATTCCCTTTTTAAATATTTGTTGAACATGGACTTTGAGCTGCTAACCACTGGCACGCAATCCCAGCCCTGGAGTTGTTTATAGACCAGTGAGCGAGGGGGCCCGCAGCCCAAGTGTGGTACCTTCACCAGCTGCCGAGTGAGGATCTCTGGTGCCGCCTGGGGTTGGGGGGGGGGGTTGCACCTGGGAAGGGCTCATGGGGGCAAATGTGGGTGGGACATGGCCCAGCAGGGGCTGACCCAGGGGCGCTGGCACACTAGCTCCGCAGTCCTCACATTCCTATGAGGAAGGTACAGATCCACAGTCCTTTATCAAAAATCCTTGGGCCAATGTGTTTCAGAATTCAGGTATTTCTGGATTTTAGAGCAATAGTATTTTGTAAGCATTCTGTTCTATTCTGTACCCATTGGTCTGGAGCTATACCCCCATAACAAATATATTTACAATTCTGTAGCAAAACATCTATGTTCACATTAAATAAAATACGCACAGACTGCAAAAAGCTTCGTGTCCATTCAAGGAAGGATTTTACAGCAAATTAATTCAGGTCATTTAGATTTCACTGCCAAATGAAAAAACAAGGTCTTTTTTTTTTTATCGCTTTGGGATTTGGGGATTGTAGATAAGAGATTGTAGGGCTGTAGTGTTTGCTCCAATTTGGAGACAAAAAACTGAGGCTCAGAGAAGTTCAGAAACTTGCCCAAGACACACAGTAAGTGGTGCAGCTGGAATCAGAATGTCCGTCTGTCTCCTGACTCACCCGCGGCATCACTCTATTTCGGTTTTTGAGATCATAAGCAATATCATGGTTTCTGAGATAATAGTGGCCGCTCTGTCCTGCTCGCCTTTGTAGAAACCCTGGAGCCAAAGCCTGAAGTCACATGAGCACACAGGATCTTCCTGTCTGCTGTTTTGTGATGCTCCGCTCTTGGGCCGTGTGCGGTGCGAATGGGTCTGTGGTTTCAGGCACGGGGGTGCAGCTCCTACTCGTGAACGCGGAAGGCGCTTTAATTAAAAAGTCATGCAGACGACAATACAGGCAGCATCACTTAGACAGCAGAACCAGACAGCTCCTCTTTGTTGACCTACTTCAAACACGTATGATTACTTAACTTTTTAAGAAGAAAATAAAGTCCCCAGGAGAGAAATAATGCTTCCTACCAGCACCTGTAAAAGAAATGGTCCGACTAACAGAAAACACTCAATCTAAGAATAATTTAAAATGCTTGCCTCCTCATCAGTCGTGCAGGAATGAGTTTCCTGCCCTTGCACTCCCAGCACACACACACACACCACACACAGACACACACACTGCCTACACACCTCTCTCTCACACATACAGCACACACGCAGACATGTGTTACACACACACCCCACACACACAGATACAAGGCACTCAGATCCACACACCCCACATGAACACATCTCTCTCACACACTCACCACACGAGTACACGCAGACACACATACCCCACACACACACATACACAGACACACAGACCCACACAGCCTGCATGCACACACCCCCTCTCACACACACACAACACAGACGGCGTGCATCCTGGGGGCAGGGAAGCTCAGGGGAGCTGGTCTCCCTCCCCCTCTGCCGGGCGGGGAGCACTAAACGCTGCCGCGCGCTGCCAACCCCCACAAGGCCAGGGGCCACCGAGTCAGTCTCGTTGGGTTTCACCACGTGACTTACCACCCCTTTCTGGCTTCCCAGGGAGAGAATTCACTCCAGGCCAACAAAGATGGTAATCCTTCTTCTGGAGTTAAGCCTTCCAGCCTCTCCTCTCACCATTGTTTTGTCTCCTGACACAGAAGGTGCCCAGAAAATTCCCTCAGCAGGTCAGCTCTGTGTTCCTCACTCCTCAGCAACAAGGAAAGAAGTAACAACTCACCTAACACAATCCAGAATTTTCCATCCAAATGGCAATAACGACAGTTCTGATGACTGCTGACTTTACCGACCCAGAGCTTAACCACGTCCCAGGCGGCGCAGCATGCGTGTGCTTTTCCTTGGGAGAGAAAAAGTGATCAAAGCACAGCTTTTAGGACAGTACTGCAGTGTGTGCAAACATCGACAGTAAACACTCACCTAGTGCCGCCTCGGGCCAGGCACTGTTCGGCGTGCCTTATACGTAGTCCTCTCGTCGGAAGCCACACAACAATCCTGTAAGGGGGGTAATACCTGTGTCACGTCATATTACAGATGGGGAAGCCAAGACCCAGGGAGGCTAAGTAACTTGTCAAGGTCACACAGCTAGAAAGCAGAGTAGCTGGAATTATAATTGAGACACTCAGGCCCTAAAGTCCATGGTCTTCCTGGTCTCTTGAGGGATGAAGTCTAGCGTCTTATTCGCCCCAGCATCTGAGCTCCCAGCACTGAAACCCGTGCTTAACACATGTTCGAAGAGGAAGGAAGACAGGGAGTGAAAGAGGAGGGGTTGCTGGGAGGGGAGGAGGACCCCGGTTCAGAGACACAGCCACATTCTGCTCCCCATGGAAATGAGGACGTGGCCCCCTTAGTGACCAATTGTATGTTTCTGAGAGAGAAGAGCTGATGGATGGATCTTCGAGGTTTGCTCTCATGAGCTGACTGTCTGCTGCAACCCCCAAAGGGAGACCCTTTGCAATGTCACCAGCAGCCTGAGAACAGAGCCTGGCAGAATCTGCTGAGGATCCCAACAGCAGAATTAAAAAGCCCTACACCGACCAGGGGTGCGACATGGGGGCGCACAGGAGCACAGTAGGTGGGGAACAGTCACGCTGCTGGGTGCGTCCAGTCTCCAGTTGGACAGTATTTTCTAGTATTTGTACGGGAATATTTAGACCTGAAGACTGTGAAGACCATGCTGATGCAGAGGACTGGCCATCTATTTCCTCGGGGCTCCAGAGGGTCAGTCATACCTAATGAATGTCGGAATCGTGCTTTATAGGTGTTATTTGTTTATTTCTATCTCTCCTGCTAGCCCCAGTACAAGGGCCTCATTACTCATCCCTAGTATGCTGTACGTGGTTAAACACACACTCTGAGGAGTCCAGTTACCTGAGGTAACATGAAGGCTTCGTCACTAATTGCGTGGCGTTTGGTAAGTTACTTAACCTCTCTGAGCCTCACTCATTTGTTGAATAGGGAATAAAGATAACATTTTCCATATGGGAACTTCACCTGCTCCTTAGCAAAGATCTCTGGCTGCTGCCTCAGGAGGAAGTTGTACCTGGGAAAAAGCTTATTGGTCAGAAAGGGAAAAGAATGGCACTGAAGCAGTGTCCTGCACGGTAATTTCAGGAAACTTGATGATTAAGTGAGAGATTCATGTAAATTGCTTGGCACGGCGCCTGGCTCATACTATGAGTGACTAAGACTGCTTCCTAGGTCCCCTTCTTTTAGTAATAGGTCACTAAAGTTTTAGTGGGATGTGTGCCTGGTTTTAAAAGAAGGCTCTGGAGAACTGTGAAGGCATGGTGGAGTGAATGTAGCTAGAGTCAGGTGTCCACTGGGCCACGGCCAAGGTCAAGGTGAGAGGAACACTGAGCATGCTGGTGGTGATGGAGAGGAGTGGTGAGCACTAGAGTGTTTCAGAGCAGAGTCAGCTGGATTTTATGAATGACACAGGGAGAGGAGGAGGCAGGTGAGTGGGAGGGGAAGAGGCCGGAGGACACCCCAGTTTTCAGCATGGTGACTAAACATGGGGACTTAATTACTCACTGGGCTACAGAATGGAGGTGGAGGAACAGGTCTGGGAGGCAGGTGATGAGTGTCCTTAAGGACACACTGAGTGGAGGGGTCTGGGGAAATGTCCCACCCAGAGGTCCAGCCAACGTCCTTTGTTCACCGCCTCTGTGGAATGGCATTGCATCATCAACATTAGTCCTGAAAAGGGGTTTTGCAAAGAGCACACGAATGTTTCGTGCCTGGAAGATCAAAACAGCCTACAGAGGCAGCAACTTTCACATGCCCGCAGCCCGCAGCCAGCCCTCAGGCGGCTCCCCTGCCCTTCCCGGTTAGCTTTCCAAGCCGGCAGCTCAGCCCGGCTTGGCCCCACAACAGGCTCCCTGGGCAGCAGACAAAAGGTGTGTTTCCACAGCACAGAATGACCACACCCACCCCATCAGCGGTGGTTTCTGTGGAATGTTAGGTCACAGCGTGCAAGTTTTTGTTTTACTACAGAGTCGTTTCTGGGAATATAGCTACTGTGATTAGGTTGAATTGCACAGCTAACGATGGAGTCATTTCTCCATTGCAATTCTGCTCCCTGCAGACATTTGCCTGCAATTCTATTTTGCACCAACTCCATGTGGGCTCTTCCAAGTCTTATAAAACTACAAAGGTCCTGAAGGACATGCAGTACCCAATCCCCTGACCTCTTACCAGGGAGGTCAGACTGCAAGGATGGATGACTTTCTTTCCCAGCAGGGAGTTTTAAGAGGTGAACTCACGACCTTGGAGACCCAGCCTGGTATTTAACCAATGCTTTGTGGTACCTGCAGTACACTAAATCCTTTGTATGTACTATCTGGTTTAATCCTTAGAACTAAACAACAAAGCAGGGAAGATGAGGATCAGAGAGGGTGAGGAACTTGCCTGATGCAGCACAGCTAATAAATGGTAGAGGTGGGATTCCACTTAAACCTGCCTCACCCCAGGTCTCCAGGTCTAACTGCTAGGCTGAACTGGCCTCCACCGTCAGCCCAGAGCTTCATCCCCTTGGTGATGGGACCACAGTTAGCACAGCTGTCCTTTAGTTCCAGGTGCTCTAGCTCAGTTTGCCCTGTCTCCCACATGTTATTCTTCACATCTTGGCAGTCTTTCACCAAAAAGGAGATGTTTGGTTTCCTACCATCCACCTAGTGTTAGAAAAGGAAAGGTCTTGGCCATGAAGAAACTCAGAAGAGGTGTCTCTGGCTCCACTCGCACTCCTAGAAATGACGAATGGGGTAGACAGTGGTGGCCAGTGTCATGCTGGCCCTGCGAGACTGGCCGCTTAGTGAGCTGTTCATGCAGGAGATCATCGCACCTAGCTGGGGGCATAATGGCCTTAAAATAGAAAAGCTGTCTATTTGGGTCCACTTCAGTGTACTTTTTTATAAGGCAAACCTGGGATATGAATGTTTAGAGTTGCAAGGTGAGACAAATGAGACAGGATGGAAATGTTTATAAGACACTTTGACTGTTCTGTTTATCTTCTCTCTGAATTGGTTCCTCCGAGCTGCCCTCTCTTTCTCCTTGTTTGCCTCCATCACTGTCTCTCCCGGTAGATGCAGAGTTGGGCAGGACGGAAGGAGCCAGGTTGCAGCACTTACAAGGGTGGTAGAGGAAGAGCGAGTGTCAAGGTAGCACCACCCCAGCTCTAAACATCTCAGCCCAGAAGGAGCACATGTCACTTCTGATCAAATTTCACTGCCTAGAGCTAGTCCCAGGGCTGGGCAAAGTGATCTCTCCCTGTGCCCAGGCAGGAGAGAAGGGGGCCAGGGGAGCACTTGTGATCTCTGTCATTGAGACTTTCCTGTGATGTCTACTGGTACTTAGTTGTTGACATGATTCGGGACAAGGGGAATTGCGGTAAGATGTCAGTGGTGATGTTAGTGGAGAGTGAGACCCCTAAATTAGAAGGCCCACCAAAGTGTGGGTCCTTGCTCCCAGCTGTGAGAGATTTCACATCAGAGGCAGAGGGACAAAGTGAAAAAGCTGCTTTTATTTCTCAAAAGGGGAAAAGGAAGGAAAGTGCTGGAGCAGGAAATAGGAAAGAAAAGTGCTCAAGCAGGGAGCCGCCAGCCCAGGTGGCCAGTGGACTTCATGGGGGGCTTCTGCCATCATGCCCTTCTTCCAGGCATGATGGAGCCAACAAGTCCTTGTACGGGCTTTTCAGTCCTTATATGGGCTTTTCCGGTCGTTGTCGTCATGTCAACTGTCTTGGAGCTGGTGAGCGTGTCATTTAGTATACTAATACATTACGGTGAGTTTACAATGAGGCTTAAGGCCCATCAGAAGTCAAATCCTCCACCATCCTGGGCTCTGTTGGTTTTAACCAGCTCTTGTTTCTTCTCTTGCGGCTGCCTCCTGAGACTTAGATAAGAGTAATTGGTTTCTATTCAGGGGAAGGGCAGGATCCTGGAGCAATAGTCTTGATAACAAAAACAAAAGTTGCTTTTAATCAGAATGCCTGCAATCTGGGGGATCAAGCATCCTCAAAAAAAAAAAAATCTCCAAAGATTCTGACCAACCATGAAAGTTTTAAAAGGAAATGGAGGAGTAATCTCAGTTAATCACTGAGACTGGAGGTCAGAGTCGTTGCCATCCCCCAGTGCCTGCAGGCTTGTCCTCATCAACTGCTTGAGCCTGCTCTTCTGTGACTCGGGTTGACCTGGGGGACATCAGCTTTTCTACAAACGAGAGGCAGGGGTTGGGCGGGATGAGGGGTTGATGGGGGCACACAGTCCTACTCGGTATCAGTAATGATGCAGGGATGTTTGTGATGGTTTTTTTTTTAACTTTGTCAAGGTGTGATTTATATATCATAAAATTCACCTATTTTCAGTGTACAGTTCAATGATTTTTAGTAAATTTACCACACTGTGCAACCAGGTGGTGGAGCAGTTTTGTGAATCTCCTTGAACCCCACCACTAAAACATCCACAGCCACTAGGCGAGCAAACTCAAAACCCCACGGACAACACCTACAACCAAACCTGGCAAGCAGTGTTTCCTTGAACTCCAAAATTTGAGTGAGGAGGGACAAGCTGCCAATAATTGCATGACTCACCTGATATCAGATACTGCAGAAGAGTTACCGAAATGTTCATGTACTTGGTGCACAGCGAGGCCAAACAACCCGAAACATCAGAGTTTGGAGCAGAGACAGTTTTTTGCAGGCCCAAAGAGAATGGGTCGCTCAAGCTCAAAACCCCCGAATGCCCCAATAGTTTTGGGGGGAAAACTTTTTATAGGCAAAATTTGGGGTGAGAGCTGCAGTATTGTAACGGAACTGTGTTTCAGGAATCCTGTCCTCAGCCTGAAGTTGCCATCCTCCACCTGGGTGGGGGCCCTGGTTCCTGCAGAAGAACACAAAGATATTGTTATGTATATTCCTTGAGGAGGAACCAGATCCCGCCCCAAGGCTGCACTATTGTTTCTTGACTGTTCCTCCCTAGTATCTGCCTTTCCTCCCTTCCCTGATAAGTAGCTGTCAGCAGAGATCAAGGAGGCTAACTGAAGCCTATTTCCTACAAACAAGAAACACGGAACACAGAAATGATTTGTACCAGGGAGAACCCCACAGTATCCTGCTTCGTTTCAGAAGGAAGAGGAAAGGTAAAGCGACTTCTGGTGCTGAAGGAGGATTAATAAAATGGCCGCACTTAGGCTAACAGATTGCTTATTCTTATGCTTGCCCTTAAAATGGTCAACTGACCTGACTGACTGGTTGCTACTCACAGTTCCAGGCTCATTGTTAAAACTAAGCTATTGATCTTACTGTTTCTACTTTATTCCAGTAATCAGAAGCTATAATCATGCTTGGTCTCTGAGTCGATCTCCAGGAGAAGGTCGCAAGGCTTTAACCTTACAAAATAGCCTGCATTACCAAGACTACACCTTGGGTGTTTATGAGATAAAGAGATGGAAAGTGTGACAACTGCTGGCCTCTATAGAATTGGTAGCCTGGAGGCATCATGTCACCATTCTAAGTCTTCTGATGAGAAAATGATTCTGTTGCTTGTTATCAATGCTGTATTGTTTGAGCTATGGCAATATAACCACCCCACCCCATCCCCAAGGTGGGTTCACAATTTTTAAGGCACTCGCCTGCTGTGAGTCCCCTTTGCCCGGCAAAGCAATAAAATTGCCTCTTTTCTTCTAAG